CTGTTTGTTGGGGATTTTAAAGCTGTTTTTGTGGCTTTTAAAGTTATTTTTTAGGGATTCTAAAGCTGTTTTGGGGCCTTTAAAACAGTTTTTTGGGGCTTTTAAAGCTGTTTTTTGGGGGGAAACTGATTTTGGGGGATTTTAAAGCTGTTTTTGCAGCTTTTAAACAGTTTTTGGGTCTTTTAAAGCTAACTGGCCAATAGCACTGGGTTGGGTCCAGTCCTCCTTTTCTAAGAGGCAGAACCAGAAGATAAATGTCCATCACACCCAGATTTGGGGCTCTTTGCTGACTGAGGTCCTCTGGGAGCTTTGTGGGTCAGAGCCTAGCTGGTTTACTTTACTGGGACCAGGAAATGTCATCTCTGTCCTCTGGATCTGCTCTGGCTTATTCTCAGGCTTCCAGCTAAAGAATCGGGCTAAAAGGAGAGAGGAGGAGAATCTGTGGGCTCAGCCAGAGAGTCTAACCCCAACGAATAGCTCTAAAAGGAGTATTTTCATGGATTATGTGCTAGCATAGGATGCTAACGGAGGAACTGGAGCCCAGCTCTGACAGGTTTCTCATCCTGATCAGGCTGCTGTTTGCTCAGGCCTCCCTCCCTCCCCTCCCCTCCCTTCCCCCTACCAGAAATGCTGCAATGCGTCTCCCAGCCAGCTCTGGGTCGGCGTGGCGATGCTCGCGGCGGCCGGGGAGCGGTCGCCATGGAAACAGCTAATCAGACCTGTGGCTCAGGATTTTTCTTTTCGTTTCTGTTACGATTCTGATGGGAAAAAAATAAATAAATAGAGTGCATTCGCAGGATTAAACCTGTCATTTTGGCAGAAGGGGGGAAATGAAATGGAGAGAGGGAGAAAGAGGAGCAGGGCGGGGCCGGAGACGCCTGATTACAAATGAGAGCTCAGAATACTCGTTTATTTTTAGTTCTTAGTTTAGTTTTCTCAGATGTTTCAAACATAGCAGCACATGGGGCTAAAGGTGCAGGTTAAATGTGATTTTATGGTTTAATAATAGTCACATTTAGTATTTGTAATTTCAGATATGACACACCATTGTAATAGTTTTGTTTTGTTCTCTTCAAATTACTTTTCAAATTGTAATTCGTGTGAATTATTAAGTAAACTAAACTAAGTAACAGTAACTGTTAATTGTTCACTATTTCTTATATACCTGGTACCTAACTGTAAGCTAACTTTTAGATAAAAGTTGACTCATTGTAATCTAACTGTTGGATAAATGTCGATTGTTATCTGAATATTGACTAACTGTATTCTTCTGCCTATCTGTTCACTAACTGTTAGCTAACTTCTAGATAAAGGTTGCCCAACTGTAAGCTTACATTTAGATAAATGCTGACTAACTGTTATCTAACTATTGACTAAATGTTATCTAACTATCGACTAACCGTTTTCCAACTTTTATCTAACTGTAAGCTGCCTTTTAGCTAACTGTTAGCTAACTTTAAGCTAACTTCTAGATAAAGGTTGACCAACTGTAAGCTTACATTTAGATAAATGTTGACTAACTGTTATCTAACTATTGATTAACCATTTTCTAACTTTGATCTAACTGTTATCTAACTATTGATTAACCATTTTCTAACTTTAATCTAACTGTTATCTAACTATTGACTAACCATTTTTTAACTTTTATATAACTGTTATCTAACTGTTTTCTAACTCTTAGCCAACTGTCAACACGGTTAACAGTTACCAACAGTTAACTAAATGTCAACAGTTACGTTTTCTTCTTGTCATTTAATTTGAAGTTAAATCTTAAATTAAAATTCAGTTTTAATCTCAGACGTGTAATTGAATATTTTTGGAATTTAGGTGCATAGAAATGAAATGTATTCCCACAGTCAATCCTGGTAAAAAAGTGACTAAAAATGGGACACAAAGTAAAATTTAAACAAAACAGTAACAGGAACATTAACCAATTTTAAAGAAAGTCTCATGCCTTTAACTTTGTACTGTAGAACCAGCCATGCTATCTGGTTCACATTTTTTCTTATTATTATTTTTATATATTATTTTTATATTATATTTTTCTTATTGTTATTTTTCAGTGTTTTCTTTTCTTTTCTTTTCATTTAGAGAAAAGTGAGAACAAATGTTTTTAACCCGACACGTTTGAGTGGCTCTGGAAAAGAAAATAAGTTTAATATGCAATGTCTTTTTTTTTCTATTATTACTATTCTAATTCATATTCAAATATCTTATAATCTTTGCATGTTTCACAGATGTATTTCAGAGCTACATAATAGTCATTTTAATGAGTACATTAATTCATTTGAGTGTTTATGTCCTTACTAATGATTAATAATTGTCTAAATTGGTATTTCTATCTAAAGAACTGCCATTCTCTCATATCAGTGTCCTCTTATAAAAGGAGCAACAAGTGTCCAATGATCCCTTTACAAGTTTTTCTTTTTTATTCTGGAGCCTGACATTTGTTTCCCTGTTTCCTGTAGGTCAGAGGATCCTCCAGTATGAGAGTGACGTCCTTCAGACAGTAGTCCTGGTAAACCCCTCAGAGGAGGCCGCTTCCTCCGAGGTGAGTTCACTCAGAATGGAAAGGATATTTTCTGGATTTACATTTGAATAACAGAGCTCTGCTCACCACTCTCATCTTCATGAGTGTCCCACAGCTTTTTGAGTGCTTCCTATTCCTCTTAACATTTCAAATGCTGGTTCTCACTGGTAATACAAATCCATGACATTTACTTTGTCGTCTTCTTTTTATTTTTTTACAATTTTCCTGCAATTTGGGGAAAGAAAATGATGGAAAATAGCTCCTTAGCATAAATACTCTTCATTTTACAGAGATCCTTTTAGGTTTTTAGCCCTTTTAGCTCCAGTGCTGCATCTTTTTATGTAAAAGTTTTCTTCTGGATATGTAAAACATCAGGATAATTGTGAATTTGAAACTGGTCCCTCATTCTGGAACTTTAATTACTTCATTTAATCAATTTTAGGTGGTTAAACTTACATGTGGTGCAGAATCTGAACCTGAAACTTAATACTTGATGTCTTGTAAATCGCTTTGCAGGAGCACAAACAACAGAAAAAAATTATTTTGCAGCTTTTAAACCTTGCTAGCACTTGAAAAGAGATGAGTTTGATGCAATCTGCCCTTTTTTCCCCACTGACTATTCCCACTGATTATTGACAGCTTTTAATCAGAATCAGAATCAGAAATACTTCAATAATCCCAGAGCGAAATGATTTAAATTCTTACAGAGAAGTTGTGAGTTACAGCAGATGTTCTGTCCCCTGCTCAGACTCGCTCGCTGATCACTGACTCTGCATCGAATAAACTCCTGATCCTGAGCGGTCAGAGCTCCGAGCAGGGAGGTGACATCCTACTGCCAGGCGGAGCCTTCACCTGGCAGCATTTCTCCAACATCATCACCAACCCTCAGGTAAGCTCAGCATGGTTTCCCTCTACAGCAGAACCTAAACATACAAATTATCCAGCATCCAAAGTGAAATTCTATCAAATATTTGACTCGACACCTGAAGGAAATTTCCAAAATGATGTCGAAGTCATAGAAAAATATACAGGACTGTCTCAGAAAATTAGAATATTGTGATTTTTTTTTAAAAGGATTTTTTAGTTTTCTTCAGCTGTACGCCATAATCAGCTATATTACAACAATAAAAGTCAGTTGATTTGTAATGAATCCAGAATGTATGACATTTCATGTTTTTTTATTGCATTACAGAAAATAAAGAACTTTATCACAATATTCTAATTTTCTGAGACAGTCCTGTATATAAAATATTGAAAAAAAATAAAATAAAGCTAAGTTAGTTTATGATGTCGAAGTCATAGAAAAATAAATATAAAATATAAAAATGTAATAAAAATAAATAAGCTAAGTTAGCTTATGACGTCAAAGTCATAGAAAATATATATAAAATATAAAAATTAAATCAAAGTAACTAGTCTAAGTTGGTTTAGAGTTCCTGTAGTAAAGTCAGAGTCTAACTGGTTCCAGGAGCGACTTCTGTGTTAAATATTGGTATGTTGGTTCAGATCTTCCATCAGAATACTCTGTAATTCATAGAATTTGTTCCAAAAACCTACGATAACTCCTTAATAAATACTGCAGATAATAGTAAATCAGAATACCTAGTGTAAGTTGGTGTAAAGTTCCTGTGTAAAGTCAGAGTGAGGTAGGGCTGGTCCTGTATCTCAGTCTCCACCTCTACCTCCGTTCTTCAGTCTCTGAGCTAAAGGGACAATAAAAACCCTTTTTACTCATTATTTCTTTATCATTTTTTTCTTTTTCCATCTCTCTTCTAGAAGTAATTTGTTTTCTTGCTATGTGTGATTATCTGCAGTATTTATTAAGGAGTTATCGTAGGTTTTTGGAACAAATTCTAGGAATTACAGAGTATTCTGATGGAGGATTTGAACCAACACACCAATATTTAACACAGAAGTGGCTCCTGGAACCAGTTAAACTCCTATGTAGAGGTTCTGCTGTACATACTTCAAGCGCTTACTGTATAAAAACATAGATTTGTCCATGTTCCTGTGTTGTAGGTGGTCGAAGTCCTGTCCAGGGTTTTTTCCGACCGGCCTTCCAGGCTAACCGTTTCTTGTCAGGGAGACGGGGGCTGGAGCTCCCTGGGTCAAAGCCTGGAGCAGCAGCCACTCAAAAGCCTTCTCGATTACCGCCTGAACCCCGAGCCCCGGCTGCCCGCCATGGACGGAGTCACCGAGTTCACGGAGTACATCTCGGAGACGGTGGATGTGCCGTCACCCTTTGAGCTGCTGGAGCCGCCGACCTCCGGGGGGTTCCTGAAGCTGTCCAAGCCCTGCTGCTACATCTTCCCTGGAGGCCGGGGGGACTCGGCTCTGTTCGCCGTCAATGGCTTCAACATCCTGGTGGACGGGGGATCCGAGAGGAAGTCCTGCTTCTGGAAGCTGGTCAGACACCTGGACAGGATCGACTCGGTCCTGCTTACGCACATCGGGGCGGACAATCTCCCGGGCATCAACGGGCTGTTCCAGAGGAAGATCGCCGAGCTGGAGGAAGAGCAGAATCAGGGCTCTGGATCCAGCAGCAACGGAGACTGGATGAAGAACCTGATCTCCCCTGAGCTTGGAATTGTGTTTTTCAACGTCCCGGAGAAACTCAGGATGCCCGAGTCTACGCTGAAGGTGAAGCGGAGCATCGAAGAAGCATCACTGACGTTGCAGTACCTCAACAAGCTTGGCATAACACCGGAGCCTCTGCACAGGGTGGTCAGCAACACCATCGAGCCCATCACGCTGTTCCACAAACTCGGAGTGGGAAAGCTAGACATGTACGTCTTAAACCCGGTAAAGGAGAGCAAAGAGATGCAGTTCCTGATGCAGAAGTGGGCCGGAAACAGCAAGGCTAAGACAGGGATTACGATGGCGAACGGCAAAGAAGGAGAAATATCCGTCCCCTATTTGACATCAGTCACTGCCCTGATTGTTTGGATTCCACACCGCCCCACAGAAAAGATCGTCCGAGTGCTGTTCCCAGGAAACGCACCACAAAACAAAATCTTTGAGGGCCTGGAGAAACTGAAACACCTGGACTTCCTGCGATACCCAGTGGCCACTCAGAAAGACATATCATCTGGGGCTCCGCCTCCCGTCATCAAGCAAACCAAAATGAGGTCGCGAACGGACAGCAAAGAGAGTCTCAAATCTTCTCCCAAACCTCACGCGAAAGCACCCAAGAAAGAAGTCGGTGGGCAGGAGGAAGAGTCAAAGAGCGACACCACTAAAGAAAACAAAGCTGAGAAAAAGGAAGAGAAGAAACCCAAAAGTCAAAGCTCAAAGGCCACCAAACAGCAGAAAAACAGTGAAGCGGCTCCTGGCGCAGACAAGAAAGAGAAAAAGAAAGTTTCCAAGGAAAAAACCCCCAAGCAAGACAAAGCATTGAAGATGGATGAAAAGAAAGACAAAGAGAAAAAAGAGATTAAAAAAGAGAAAGTAAAGAAGGACGAGAACATAAGGAAAGAAGAGAAAAAAGAGAGTAAGGCCAAGGAGGACAAAAAGAAAGACCCAAGTAAACCCGAGCTGAGAAAAATCACCAAACCCGACCTGAAGCCTCTCACCCCAGAAGTAAGAAAGACCCTTCACAAAGCCAAGGCTCAGGCTAAGCCCAAGTCTGACAAGAATAAAGCTGTTAAGGAGGAAGCAGCTGAGAAGAAAATAGTTCCAAGGAACATACCCGAAGAGGTTGCTGCCGCAGCTCTGGCTGACAGGTCCATCGTGTCCTCGCCTGAGGACCTCACCGAGGACTTTGAGGCTCTGAGGCAAGAGGAGACGCCCAAACCAAAGCCTGAGCTTATCCAGAATAATCTGAAGTCTGGGCTTCCTGTCCACGCTGATGCCACTTCCTCTGTTTCACCCGACCAGAAGGCACCTGAGGTCAAATCTGCTGCCAAGCCGCAAGACGAGGACAAAGACAAAGGTGTATCTCAACAGGTAGGACCTGCTCAAATAAAGGTTGGACCTGTTGGATATGATAGGAAGTATGAGGAGGAGAAAATGGAGAAATATGACTCGGTAAAAGACAGATCCAAGAAGAGCGAGAGCTCAGAGGAGGAGGGAGATGTGATCGAAAAAGCCGAACTTGAAGGAACCGAGGACGACGAGGTCCTGAAATACAAGATAGAGGAGGTGAAGAGAGAAAAGGCTGTAAAGGAGTGGGACGCCAAGCCAGCTGAGCAAAAACCCGCGACTGGTGGAGCTCCAGTGACAGCTTCTGTCTCAGAGCAGTTCTCCTTTATCCAAGATGAGACCATTCCCGGGTACTCCGAGACCGAGCAGACGATCTCCGACGAGGAGATCCACGAGGACACGGAGGACAGGATCCCACAGCTGCGCTATGATGTCGGCTCCTATGAAGTCTCGGTTCCCGACATCCCGGGAACTTTCGACTCCATGCACGGGATCAAAGAGATGAGGAGCTCTTTGGCGTCCGACGTGAAGCCCAAAGCCTTCGCTACAGGCCAGGAGGCGGAGCTTGCGCCTTACCCAGCTGTGATTGCGGCTCCTCTGGCCGAAGAGGAGCACATCTCCTCTGCGACATCCATCACGGATTACGACAAACTCTCATCCTTTGCGACGTCTGTGGCTGAAGACCAGTCGATCACCTCAGTGACGGCGCCTCAGACGGAGGACGTTGGGAGGAACTCCCTCCTGCTGGACGCCATGAACAACGTCCCCCCCGCCGTCCAAGGGAAAGACTATCCCCACTCGGCAGGAACCATCTCGCCCACATCTTCTCTCGAGGATGACAAGTGCTTTAAGTCTCCTTCATCTGATGAGTACCAGCCCCACATTCCAGAGATGGAGGGTGACGCAAAGATCCAGTTGATTCATGAAGAAGAAGATGACGAAGAGGAAGAGGATGAAGACCAGACCCCGAACGTCGATATCCCTCTGGGTAAACTTCAAGAGGGTTACGAGCATGCAGCCTCCGTCATGCTCAGAGAAAAAGGGAAATCTCCACCTCCCGTCCTTCCCACACAATCTGTGAAAGAAAACCAGGCTCTCTTCAGACCAGAGGGATTTAAAACCAGTGAAATAAAGCCCGTCTCACCCCCTCCGTCCTTCTCCCCTGGTTTGGAGTCCCACTCCAGGCAGGAGAGTGAGGAACGATGCGTAAGTCCTGATGATAGCACCATGAAACTGGCTTCACCCACGCAGTCTGTGCCCACAAGCAGCGGCCATTCTCCGACAGAGGAGAAAGCCTTTAAGACAGGAGAGAAAGATGAAATGCTGACCAATGTGAAATCTGACATCCTGAAAACAGATAAATCTGTCACCATCTCTGACAACACCTCATTTATCGCACTGCCGGCCGACAAAACCGCCTTTGAGGCTTCTGAGGAATCTGAGGAAGAGAACGAGGATGAAGACGACTTTTACACCAAAAAGGATTTACAGCCCGCCGTCAAGGCCAAACTCATGGAGGCAAAAGAGGGTTGCTTCTTGGATGATGACTTTGCATTTGAGTCAAAGTCTCCAAAGATAGAAACAGAAATCAAGAGCACAGAAAAGACGCAGGTGTCCTTTAGTGCTCCAGAGAAACCAAAACCTCAAGTGATGTACTCAGATGAAGAGGAAGATGAAGATGAAAATGACGAGGATTTTCCAAGTGGAGTAGGAGCCAAGCCCTCCGCAACCAGTCAAGACAAAGATGAATCTAAAAATATCAGCGTTGAAAAAACAGACATCACTGACAAGGATTCAGATAAAAGTGTCCATTTCAGTCTTTATGAATATCCAGAAAAAGAGAGCAAGGAAAAGGCCCCATATACAAGACAAGACACCCCCTATGTTCATGGAAAAACGTTCTCTTACGGCGACATTTACGACAGCAAAACGAGCTCAGAGGACTCCGATCTGTGTCGTCAGGAGTCTGAAGATAAAGCAGAAAAAGACTCTGAAAAGGGTGACCTGGACTCTGAGAAACGCCAGCCTCCGGCAGCGGTCGCTTTCATGGATCAGAAGTCAGAGAAGGAAGGATTCACCGTCTCCTTCGAAAAAGAATCCTTCACCTCCTCGTGGGCTGACTCTAAGACGTCCGGAGCCACAGATCCATTTGAGAAAGAGTCCAAAGAAAAGGATTCAGGCTTCCAATACAGCCCCAGCAGCCGTTTCCCCTCAGTGGCGGACAGACCAGAAGCCTCCACCACCTCTCTGTCATCGGAAAAAGACAAAACGGGGTCGGTGGTGTTCCCGTCGCCAACACCCGACAAAGCCGCCTCCTCTGGCTACGGCGAGAAGGCGTCGTGTCTGGAGATCGACATGCGAAAATTCACCGCCAAGGACGAAGAGGATTATGACGACGATGAGGTCATCGACGAGGACGACGAGGAAGAGGAGGAGGAAGACGAGGAGGACGGGGAGGAAAGCGGTGTCGATTGTCAGATGGAGAAAGGAGCCAAAGAGAAGTCGGAGAAAGAGGTCGGAAGCCCGATCTCAGACATGTTTGGCTCCAATAGGCCTGAGTTTATGGTGTCCATGGCTGGATATGGATACAACAGTCAGGGGAAGCCGAGCACGACGGGAAGCAGCCCGAGCTCACTCTGCAAAGATGAAACCAAGACTGTGAGTGGAAAGCCAGTTGACTTGGGGGCCGCCGGGTTTTCCGGTTTTTCCACAGGGTTTGGATATTCCTACGGCACCGAGAGCAAAGAGCCCTGTTTACCAGACAAAGGAAGAGAGGATTTCACTTCAAAACCAAAAGAGGAAAGTTATTACCAGAGTGACAAAGCCGGTTCTGAGTTTGAAAAACAGAAGACTCCAGATCCACTGAGCAAGAGTTCACTGGACACAAGTTTCCAGTACACGACCACCGCTGCCCCTGGATACTCCTCGTCTTCGGCCTACAGCTACTCCTCCTCCACCTCGGGCTCTCTCTCCACCAGCCGTCAGTTCGGGGAGGAGTTGGAAACTCCTGCCTCAGCAGAGCCGCTCTTTGAGTACTCATCCTTCAAAGACGAACCCTCTCCAGTCACCGACTCTCTCTTCTCCAGCTCAGCCGGGGCCAAAGACGACTACCTGGAAGTTTCCGACAAGCAAACCACCTCGACAGCCAAAGCCGAGCCTGCCTCCGGTGTAGCTCGCTTCTCGCCCATGAGCCCATTTGAGGAGGTCAAGTCCTTCCCCTCCCTGTCCCCAACAACTATCGTCCAAGACAAGAAGCAGCATGAGACTCCATTTGTTACCGATAAAGGCCTTCAGCCTGACTGCTTCTACAAACCCGAGTGGTCTGAAGGGTCGAAGCTGGACACAGCTGCTGCTTTCGGGGCCTCAGCCAGTCCTTTCTCCCAACTATCGGACTTCTCCACAAGCAAAGAGGCAGCCAGCGCCGCCCTGTTCGGCGTCACTTCCTCCCCTCGGCCGGACATCGAAGGCAAACACTACTTTGAGGAGACGGACAGCAGCGAGGAGGAGGACGAGGAGGCCTACATCCGAGAAATCACCAGGAGGTCTCCCTCTGGAGGCTTTGCTGGCGGCCTCCCCTTTCCCGAGAAGCCAGCTGCTCCACCTGCAGGCGAGAAGGCGAGCGGCGCCCTCCCAGATGTTCTCGGCTCCTACATGTCTTCACCTCTTCAACCCGGCAAGCCGGACGCAGCCAACGGCCCCACGGAGGTCAGCGGCGGCGCCACGCTTCCCTCCGGGGTCGTAGCCTCTGCTAAGCCGGAGTCCCGAGAGGGGCCGGCCAGTTACGTCCGGAGCTCCTACGAGTGGGAGATGCCGAAGCCCCAGATGGGAATGGTTCCCGGAGACTCGCCTCCACACTACCGGCACGACGACGAGTTCGAGGAGGAGTGCGAGGTGGAGCCGGAGCACCCGGCCCGGCCACTGTCGCTGTCCTCCACCGATCGGCCATTCCGCTCGCCCTTCTACGCGGACGAGTGCAGCCGCGGTGGTCAGGACGACGACGACGAGGATGAGGACGAGGATGATAGCGACCAGGAGGCGGCCATGGGGGCCACCTCCTCCTACGCCAGCCGCACCTCGCCGGGATACTCGTCCTCCGAGGGGAGGCAACGCAAACAGGACCTCTCACCCTCCTTCATCAACCCCTGCATGGGGCAGCAGTCCAGCGAGGACGAGGACGAGGACGACCGCTCGCAAGAGGGGGACGAGCACGACCTGTCGGTGAAGAGGAGGGCTCACAAACAGCCCCACCTGCCCCCCCACAGCAGGGGGGTCGGGGGGACGTCCGCCATGCTGGGGCTGGCCACCGAGGACACCCCGCCCACCTCGGTCAGCGAGTCTCTGGCCTCCCAGTCCGACTCGGACGCCCCTCCGGGCACCGAGGAGTTCCCGTCCGCCGCCGTTGCCCCCGGCGACTCGGACGAGGACGGCGACTTCCTGCCGGTGGATAAGTCTGCCGCCGGCCACCGATCCGCCTCCAGGAGCCAGGACCCGCCTCCCGCCCCCCTCGTGGACCCCCTCCCCCACCCCCCCCACCCGGACGTCTGCATGGTGGACCCCGACTCCGTGGAGAACGGCTCCGTCAAGAAAGAACCCAAAGCCAAAACCCTGAAGAAGAGCTCCGGGAAGACCAAGTCGTCGTCCCCGGCCCGGCGCAAGAGGTCGCCCATGCCGGTGCGCCAGACGCCGTCGCCTCGCAGCGCCGCGCTGAAGAAGAAGGAGGCCGACAAGAGCTCCAGGATGTCCCGGCTGTCAGACGGACAGGGCTCCAAGGACGACGACCTCTCCAGGTCGAGCTACAACCCCGGCAAAGGGCTGACCAACGGGGTGAAGAGCAGCTCAGGTGAGCAGACGCACTGAAAAGGCTGCTGACATTCACCACCTTTTATCCCGCCTCTTTATCCGGCCTTTTCCCTCGCCTTTTTATCCCGCCCTTTTATCCCGCCTTTTTCCCCCACCTTTTTTTCCCGCCATTTCCCCCCGC